GGTCCTTAACTGTAAAACAGGAAGGCAGAAGTGTCAACATTAGAATGATGCAATGTAAGAAAGACTTGATCGACCATTGCTGGCTTTAAAGACGGAAGGGCACCATGAGCCAAGGAATGTGGATAGCCTTAAGAAGCTGGAAAAGGCAAGAAAACAGATTCCGCCCTGAGCCTCCAGAAGGGAAAGCAGCCCTGCTGACACCTTGATTTTAGCCTAGTGAGACCCATTGCAGACTTCTGACCTTCAGAGCTGTAAGATAATAAATTTGTGTTGTATTAAGCCACTACCTTTGGAAATTTGTTTCAGCAGCCATAGGAAACTACAACAATGTTGCAATGTGGTTGTTGGTGCCTGTCTCTCCCTCCCCACTGTCAACTTTTTTGTCTACTTTATTTGCCCAGAATGTAGCACAGATCTGGCATATAGTCAGGGGCTCAGTAAATATTTGTTGAATGAAAGAATGAAACATCACTCTGGTTTTGAGCTTCTACATAGACTCTTAAACGATTCAAATTCTTCCCCCAGCCCTGGAGACCCTAAATCCTTTGAGCTCAGGTTTCTCTTGTTTCCTTTTCCCCACTAATCCATGTTTCCCATTGCAGGTCTATTGCTAGTCATTTGCAGCTTCCTCCCTCCTGTCTCCAGTCCTGTGTCCAGGGGGGGAATCGACATGGAAGACGTGTGTTACATATACACCTATGTGACTTTGCTCACAGGCTTTCTGCAGGCTATGCCTGAAATGGTGTCTTTTTCTTCCTCTCCCAGATTCGGACTGCTTTCTCTTTTCGCCTCCTCTTACATTTCCTATTAGGGTCCTGCTATTTTCACAGCAGCTTGAATGGCGAACATAGTCTTCACCTCTCCTCCTTTTCCTTTCTGTGTCCTCGTCTTTCTTATAGCCCTTCTTGGCCCCTTTCTCAGATGAGTCTGTGGGATTCTAGGATAGACAATGAAAGAAAAGTTACTCTCAGGTTACCTACTGCAGGTTATTTTTATAAAGACAGTCAGTAAATCCTTCAGCTTATTTTGTGCAAAACTGCAAAGTCCTCTCACACTGGGTGACCAAAGCTGCAGCTGGCTTGCTGGGATATTATCTTGTAGCTGCCTTTTCAGTCACCCGTTCTCAAGCCCCAGTTTCTCTGCTTTCACAGTGCATGTGGCTTCAGCCTCTCCTGCTTTCCCTCCGTGGGCCTCATGCTCAGGCTTTCCAAAAGCCAGGCTCAGAGGGACTTGCTCAGTCATGGTCTAATGCAGAGTTCACATGCTAGACCTCCTCCAATGCTGCTGATGTGGCCCAGATGTTTGACTTGAGTGATGGGCTGATTTCCTGGGCCAATTTTTGATGGCTAGGCCTGGCAGCAGAGCCAAGAGACACAATGTGTGGTAACTTATGTGGAAAGAACTGCTCTGACCACTCAGCCCTGGGGCCGTGAGTGTGCCAGGCACATGGACTTCTCTAGAACAAAACCTTTTACCAAAACTCTGTTTGGAGGTAATAGTCACAGCTGTTCATGCCCCTTCTATGTGCCCCCTTTTTCCACTCCATGAAGATAAACTTATTGATGAAACAAGTAGATCATCCAATTTCATCCCCCCAATCCAATTTTAAGTGTGGCATTTTCATTTGGGAAGACTTCTTAGGTCTCACTCAGGTATCTACTGTAGGAGGCTGTAGCACCAGAGTGGTGAGGTCCAGACCCAGGACAATGGCTCATGTCCCAAAGATGAGCTATTACTTCTGTTCTCCCATGGGCAACAGTCCTGGTCCTCACAGCGCCCAAGATATCAGAAACAAAGAGGCGTTGGAGCAGGATTCTGAGAACTCTGAGAACATCTATTTTCCTGCAGGTAACTTGATCATCCCTGTATGGTGATGCCCCTTCTTCCCTTCTTTCCATGCCTGCTACCTAAGACTAGTAACCAGTATACCTTTTCTTACTCCTTGTATCATAACCATTTTGCAGAGGCTGCTGCAGGGAACTTAAGGGTGGCAGGGAAGCTACCAGGGGCAGCTGCTTTGCAACCCCACCTCTCTCCTCACATGACAACATGGCGGTGGAGCCTGAGGCAGATGAGTTGTACTTCTCTAATACCAGATCCACTACTGTGCTGGGAGGGCTTGGTTATGTGATTGGCTGAACCAGCAGCCATTTCTGATTTGAGGTGGAGTGTTACTCCTGGGGAGTAAAACTCAGAAGAGTGTTTAAAGTTAAGGGCATAATATCATAGTATTTCTTTGAGAAACACAATTTCATTCATGATAATATTAAATTACACAATAACAGGTGATATATTCGATGTTACCTTCTAAGGACAACATTGTTTGAAATGCCCCCTTTTAAAAATGATAATTCTTTGAGAAGTGGATTTGAACTTCAAAGTTTAAAGAGTGTTTAGATTTAATTAAAACAATTTTTAGCTCTTTCATTCTTCTGGAATTTAATGTGCATGGTGTGAGGGAAGGAAATTAGTTGTTTTCCAAATGGACAGCTTGGTGTCCCAAAACTATTGAATAACTCATTATTTACCCCATTAAAGTCAATTTTATCATATATAGTGAAAAAAAAAAAAAGATTCCCATGTAATCATGGTTGTTTTCTTATTGTGTCTCACTGATGTATCAGTATTTGTCTATTTCTTTGCCAGTATCATGCTGTTTTCGTTACTGTGGCTTTATATTTTGTTATCTGGTAGGGAGGTCCCCTATTAATGCCTCTTGTTCTTTTTATTCCTCAAAATCTCTTGGCTATGCTCATGTGTTTAGTCTTCCAGATGAATTTTAGAATCAACTCGTCAAGTCCCCAAAATCTTCCACTGGGATTTTGATTTAAACTGCAATAAGTTGACATCATTATAATATTGAATCTTTCCGCTCAGGAACATAATATCTTTTCATTTATTTAGACCATTAAAAAAAAATGTCTTTAAAGTTCTCTGGTGTTCTTGCATTATTTCTCAAAATTTTTTTTTATATATTATATATTTTTTTTATGCTATGGTAAATGCAATACTTCTTCTTTTCCTTTCAGACTTCATTTTTTACCGATTTTTATTTTAGGCAAGGTTCTTATGGTAGCAATTTACAGAAATACACTCAATCTAACTTAAGAAAAAAAAAAAAAAGTGGGGGAGGGGGAAATTCTTTGGAAGGCTGCCAAGGTCTCTCCTGGAGGCCAAGGGCAGAAAGGGGAGTGGGCCTCCAAAGGCGGCTGGAAACCAGAGCCGTTCAGTCTCCTGTTGCTGCTTCTCTCAGCAGACCTGTTTCTCTTCCTCTGCAGTTCAGCTTTCTTTGCCGCTTCCTTTGTCCCACTTTCACATTCGGGGGAAGCAAGGGGATGTAGTACAAACCTGGCTACAGGAGCCCATCATACAATTGGAGCAATTCACTGGGCAGGCATGCCTGAAACAGATTTTAAAGCACTGCAATGTCAGGAACTTCAAAAGAATCTCTTTCTTTCCTAAGAGGGATAGAGTTGGCAGTTACATTATGGAAAAAATCGGCCCTCTCTAATTCCAAGTGATTAATAAACAGGGACTGACAATCATCATGGTTATAGATTAATAATTCAACAAAAATATATTGAGCCCCTGTTCTGACTTTACATTTGTACACTACTTTGCTGTTCACGATGTGCTTCCACTTACTTCATTTAATCGCCCTTTAGGTTTTTGGCTCAGATCACACATAGTATATCATAAATGCGAAATTATGGTTTAAGGGCATAAATTGTCATTTCAAATATTCAGTCATTAGGAAATGTTGTTGTTAGTTGCTGTCGAAAAGATTCCAACTCATGGCAACCCCATGTATACAGAGCAGAACTATTCTATACAGTTTTCAAGGCTGTGACCTTTTGGAAGCAGATCACCAAGCATGTCTTCCGAGGCTCCTCTGGTTGTGTTTGAACTACCAACCTTTCAGTTAGTAGTCCACCGTTTAACCATTTGTTCCACCCAGGGATCCCTTAGGAAATAAGATCCTCCAAATTTGGTAGCTTGAGGTAAAGATGAATATGACCCTATTCCTACCCTCAACTGGCTTACAATACGATTAGTTCTGATCTTTCTCTGTAGAATAGCACTTCATAAAAGAAACCCTCCCTAGAAACCAGAAATTCTGTTAAAAGGCACTTTTGTTTACTTAATCTAGTTCTGCAGTTGATGTCAGCATTTAACTGGAAACCTGGGGAAAGCTACAATGGGAACTTGGAAACAAGAACTTGCAGCTCTTGGCTCTATTGGTTACTAACTGAACGACCTTCACAGATAACCTAGCCTCTGTGAACCTGTTTTCTCATTTTCAAGCGCGGGATAATATCAGCGTTATGAGAAAACACAGTAAAAACAAAGGACTAGGTACACATAGAGCAGTATCAGTGGCTATATGGGAGCCTGATACTGCTGAAGGGAAAAAAAAAAAAAAAAAACTAGTTTGGAGAAGACTAGGGAAAAGAGGAGCCTTGGTGGCGTAGTGGTTAAGAGCTCGGCTGCTAACCAAAAGGTCAGCAGTTCTAATCCACCAGCCGCTCCTTGGAAATCCTATGAGGCAGTTCTACTCCGTCCTATAAGTCGGAATTGATGGCAACGGGTTTGGTTTTTTTGGCTTAAGGAAAAAGAAGTAAAGGGCCCTCAAAGGTGACACCCCCGCCAGCTTCAGTTCTTTCACACAGAAATTGAAAAACTCCCTAGGGCAGACACCGCTCTCCTCGGAACATTCCATTTCTCCAAACTCTACTTCCCCACCCAGTCTGCAAACAACGTGTCAGCTTGTCCTCACTGGCCCGGGAGCCGCCGCGAGCTCAGCGGGCACCCAGGCGGTGCGGGGCCCCAAAGGCAGGGCTGATGTGTCGGGGGCCCAGCTCGGGGCCAGGGTCCCGACCCACAGCAGCAACAACAGCCGATGGACCGCCCCCACCCGAAGTAGCCGGCACCGCCCCCATCCGCCCCGTTTGCACGACCTGGGCGTGGTTTCCGACAGCGGAGGCGTGTCTTCTGGTCGTCCCCTTAGCTCGTCTTTCTTCCGGGGTGGGATTTCCTGGCCATCATTGTTAGGCGCCCGGCTGCCGAGCTGGTAGGAGGGTCAGACAGGAGGGTCAGTCTGGCTGGCGAGGTCTGATGTCCCTCTAAAGAGAACCCGGGAGGGCGGTCTTCCTCACTCTCTTTTTCCTCCCCTTGAGGCCTCGGTTTGCGCGGACGCCCTAGGTTTTTGGCACTATCACCCACCTGAGGCCCTTCCGCTTCCTCTTTCCCCAGGCTCCGCCCCCCAGCGTCCTGTGGCCATGACGACGGTCCTGCGAGACTCCCTGGTGTGGAAGCTCGCGGGGCTGCTGCGGCAGTCGGGTGAGTGGACTTCCGGTTGGGCTGGGGCGAGGTGGGATGCTTCCTACCTGCCGGAATCACGCCCCCATAAAAGTCAGGGAGTTACAGCTGCTTCGGGTCCCTGGGGTCTGGCTGTCAGAGTTCATTTATTTCTTTACTCCTGACTGGTGTGGTCGCTGTCGTCCAACTGCCGACAGTGTCCTTTGCCTTTGACTTTCTAAACCATAGCCATCCTTTGAGGCCAAACTCCAGTGGCACTTCCTCTATGCGTTCTCTGATACTCTCAAAGAGAAGTGATCATTACTTCTTGACTATAAATCTCGGAACCAGGGACTGCTCGTAATTACTGTTGTGTGGCAAGACATTAAATATAGCATAGTTAAAAGCAATAGATCTGGAGTCAGAACCCCCTGGGTTGAAATTCCAACTCTCTTTTACAAACTTGGCCAAGTTAAGTTTTTGGAGCCTCGTTTTTCCTCAGCAGCCGCATGGCATAATGATTTTATTTATCTCAAGGGTGGTCGTGGGAATTAATTTTAATTCATATAAAGCATTTAGTACAGTGTTTGCACATATAATAAGTGCTCGAAAATTGGTAGCTATTGTTACAATTTCTGTCCTCAGTGCGTGGGCACACTGGGGCCCCGGTGGTTGATCAGTCATTGCGTGGTTGGCATTAGTTGTGGTAGAACAAGCCTTGACTTTGAGTTCAGATAGAAGTAGGAACTGCCTACTAGCTGTATGATTTCAGTCAAGTTTCTTAACTTCTTTGAGCCTCAGTTTTCATATTTTTCAGATGGATTTAATAGTGCTTCTCTTTCAGAGATTGTAATGAGGTTTAAATGAGGAAACATGTCAAGCTGCTTGGCATATTAAACCAAAAACCAAACCCATTGCTCTGGAGTTGATTCCAACTCATAGCGACCCTATAGGACAGAGTAGAACTGCCTCAGAGAGTTTCCAAGGAGCACCTGCTGGATTTGAATTGCCATCCTTATGGTCAGTAGACATTGCTTTTAACCACTACGCCACCAGGGTTTCTGCCTGGCATATAGTACTCAGTTAATGTTAGCTGCGTTCCACCACTCTGCGCATTGATGGTATCTGTGGAATCCCTGTTTATAGCAGTTTTCCTGTTTGCCTTGTATTGTATAAATGTGTACATGTCTTATCTCCTTTTCTAGACAGCAAGAGTTCTTGATCCTTGTCTGTATCTGCCATACCCTAGTGTTTTGTGTGTAGAAAATTCTTCCTGCAAAGTTGTAGGATTTGTTAATTTATTCAGCAAAAATCTGACATGGCTCCAGGGGCAAGGGATGGTGAGAGGAGGGGCTGTGACTGTAGAGAAGTAGCCTAAGGGAGGTCTTTGAGATGATGGAATAGTTCTGTACCTTGATCATGGTGGTTACAGAAACCTACATAGAACTATATGCACAGGTACCAGTGTAAATTTCCTGCTTTTGATACTGTGCTGTAGTTACATAAAATGTAACCGTTGGTGGAAACTTGGTGAAGAATATATGGGACTTCTCTATCCTATTTCTGCAACATCTTTTGACTCTATACTATTTTTTTTAAAGCTAAAAAAAAATTAGCCATGTCTACCTTGTAGCTGCACTCTTAGATGCAGTGATGTCTGCCAACATGACCAAAAGATGCCCTCAAAGATAACTGTCTCGTAAGACAGCAGTTTTAACTTAGCAATAACAATACTTTAGTACTATAATGTGTGGTTATTTCTATAATGTGCCTTTCAGTAGTGTTTGGAAGTTTCTGTAAGTGTGCATATTACTTTTCTAATTAAAAAAAATAAAAGATAAAACACCCAGTGAACTTTTATGTAAAGTGGGTGATTACAGTCTAAAGATTCAGCAGTGTTGTCTATTGAGAAGGCTTCCTGGAGGAGGTAGTGCTTGAGCTGGTCAGAGTGGAAGGAGGTATATCAGAAAATGGAGGAGCTGTGAACCAAGCTGACTGTATTTCCAGCACTGTGAGTAGACCAGGCTCTCTTCAGCAGAAGGTTCACGTCGAGGATAAAGTGGGAGAAAATTTGGAAGAGTCTGTTGGAATCATAGTGAAGCAGTTTCATATATCAGGCTGAAGAGTTAGGATTTTTTTTTGAAGATTAAGGGAGCCATTGAAGACTTTTGAGCAGGGGAGGGGTGGAAAGTTTGATCCTTCAGGGGAAGATCTACAGTATGGATTGGAGTAGATATGTTTTAGGCTCGCAAAGTCTAGAATTAATGTAAAGACCAGTTGATGGGATAGGATGAGGTCCATAGACATCCCGCAATCAAGATTCATTATGTCTTCCTTCCTCTCTTCCCTTCTCCCCCCAGGGGATGTGGTCCTGTCTGGCTGCAGCACACTGAGCCTGCTGACTGCCACCCTGCAGCAGCTGAACCACGTGTTTGAGCTGCACCTGGGGCCATGGAGTCCTGGCCAGACAGGCTTCGTGGCTCTACCCTCCCACCCTGCCGACTCCCCAGTCATCCTCCAGCTTCAGTTCCTCTTCGACGTGCTGCAGAAAACGCTTTCACTCAAGGTTCTGGGGTTGGGAGTAGGGCAGCATGTATAATGATGGAGACAGGGTCTAGGGCTGGGGAATGGGTGCAAGAAGACTTCGGGGCCAAGGGCTGGATGCTGTCAGAGCTACAGGTGGTGGCTGTAAGGAAGGGATGCTGAGGAGAGAGATCTGTGGTGCCTCTGTGACCTGAATGCTATTTTTTCAGCTGGTCCATGTCCCTGGTCCTGGCCCTCCAGGGCCCATCAAGATTTTCCCCTTCAAGTCCCTTCGGCAGCTGGAGGTATGGGGGCCTTGGGAGATGTTGGTGCGCAAAACCCAGCTTGAGGCAGCCATCTGGGGGTGGGGAAGGAGAGATGGCCTTGTTCTGTGGGGAGGCCAGGCCGGAGTGTAGCTGTTGCCCTGCCCTAATGTGGCATCCACTTTCTTTTCCACGTACTGCTTCCCTGAACCGTGGCTGGGCTCTGTCATCTTCCCCCTCCTCCCACCACCTGGAGGGGGGCACGAGGCCTTTGTCTTGGGTGACTTCTGCCTACCTTCCCTCCTTTCCTTGCCCCAGCTCCGAGGTGTCCCCCTCCACTGCCTGCGTGGCCTCCGTAGCATCTACTCCCAGCTAGAGACCCTGATTTGTAGCAGGAGTATCCAGGCATTAGAGGTAAGGAGGGTGGGGGTGGGCCCAGATGCCTTGTCCTGGGAGACAAGTGAGACCAGGCTCTGATGTTTCCCTCCTCTGCAGCCTTTGCTGCTTCCTGCCTCCCTCCTCGCTCCCTCCTCTGTGCTTCCACAGCACCCTGTACCTCCCATGCACCCTGTACCTCCCATGGCACCCTATACCTTCCCCATACTTTACCATAGTATAGTAAATTTTCCAGTGTCTGACTCCCCATTTGGGGACAGGGACCTGGGCTTTCTTTCAGTCTGCACCTCCAGACCGAGCCCAGTACATGAAGAATGAGTGACTGGATGATGGAGCCAGGGCGGTGGTGTGGGGAGGGGTGAGAGTAGAGGTGGTGAAGCCCCTGTTTGCCCACTCAGGAGCTTCTCTCGGCCTGTGGGGGCGACCTCTGCTCTGCCCTCCCCTGGCTGGCTCTGCTCTCTGCCAACTTCAGCTACAACTCCCTGACTGCTTTGGACAGCTCCCTGGTGAGTGCCACAGTGGGAGGGGGGGGGATGGAGAAGGGGCGAGGGGGGGGAGGGGAATGGAGAGAGGCTGGGACAGGCCTTTGGGGAAGTGCAGCTGGCTGCCTGGGAGTGTCCTTGCTTCCAGACCGATTCTCCACCCCCTCTTCCACCCCCTCAGCGTCTCTTGTCAGTTGTGCGCTTCTTGAACCTGAGCCACAATCATGTCCGGGACTGCGAGGCTTTCCTGATGGTGAGTGTGGGCAGCCTGGCTGGGCCGGCGGGCCTGGCCTTTGATGGCCTAACCCTTTCTCCTGGGCCCAGTGTTTCTCCCACCTTGCTCTTGCCACCAGAGTGGAGCCACATCTGGAGGTAGTTCCATTTGGGGGTTCAGGCTCTAGCGTAAGACAAACTAGAGTTTAAATCTCAGCTTCTGATACCTGTGTGACCGCACGTGTAAAGTAGAAGTACCTGCTTTTATAGTACTAAAATGGTTGTGAAGAGAACATGATGCTACTTGTGTGAAACACTTAGCCCAGAGTCTAGGTCAGAAAATGGTAGCTTTTGTGATGGTAGTGAAGAACCCTTTTCTCATTACATACCCCGGCTCTCTACCTCCCAGGACTTGTCTGAGCTCTACCATCTGGACGTCTCCTATAACTGCCTGCGTTTGGTGCCCAGGATGGGACCCTCAGGGGTCGCTCTGGGGACCCTGATACTGCGAGGCAATGAGCTGCGGAGCCTGCTTGGTGGGTGGGGGAGGTGGGAATGGGGTGGGGGGATGGGACAGATGTGAAGGGGAACGGGAGGAATGTGAGACTCAGGGTTGGGAGAAGTGGCCTGTGTTCACGTGCCTCCGGAGCCTCTTTGGGCTTACAGATGGAGATGAGGTGCTCAGGTGTGACTGTCTGCTGTGCTGTTCCCCACACCACACCCCACCATACCTGCTCACCCCGGGTGTCACACGCATGCCTTCCTCTCCTCACCACCCACCAGGCGTGGAGCAGCTGAGGAACCTGCGGCACCTGGACGTGGCCTACAACCTGCTGGAAGGGCACGGGGAGCTGTCGCCGCTCTGGCTGCTGGCCGAGCTCCGCAAGGTGAGGCTTCGGGGACCTGGGAGACAACTTTGCGGCCCCTTCCTCCATGCCGATTTGGTTGGTGGCCCTTCTTTATAATGAGAGGGCCCTAGACCCACTTCATTCTCCTCTTCCTGCCCCTCAGCTCTACCTGGAGGGGAACCCTTTGTGGTTCCACCCTGCACACCGAGCGGCCACCGCCCAGTACTTGTCGCCCCGTGCCAGGGACGCTGTTCCTGGGGTGAGTGATTTTTTTGTGTCCTCTCTGATTCCACTTTCCTGCCAGTCCCACCCCAACCCTGCACTCTGTTGCCTCTCCCTTACCTCATCCCTGGGTGAGGGTGCCAAGGACCTGGATCCCTGCTTATTGCACTGTTAATGCCAGCTCAGCTTGGTGACCACAGACGACATGGGGGGCTCCCACCCCACCTGGGAATGCACCCAGGGGCCAGCTGTCCACCATAACACTCTCCTTCTGCCCTTTGATCTTTGCCTAGTTCCTTCTTGATGGCGAAGTCTTGTCAGTTACTGATTTTCAGGTCAGTGTGGAGGGGTGGTGGGGGTGGGAGGGCAAGGATT